AGAGACACATCAATCTGGTTGCCTCTTGCACATGTCCAGGCCGGGCCAGGGATCCAACCCAGGTATGTGCCCTTGACCGGGAATCAAACCCAGACCCTTCAGTGCGGGGGCTGACGCCCCAACCACTAAGCCACACCAGCCAGGGCCATGCGTCCACTTTTACTTAAAAAATGACAATTACAGGACCTGGCCAGGTAGCTCAGTTGGTTAGAGCATCGTCTTGATATGCCAAGGTTTCAGGTTTGATCCCAGGTCAGGGCACATACAAGCAGCAACCAATAAATGCATCAATCAGTGGAACAACAAATCCATGTTTCTCTCTCTCTCTCTCTCTAAAATAAAAAAAGAAAGTTACAAATGCCTCCATTCTCAGTTTTGGAAAGAAATACATTCCTGTCCCTCTCTACGAATAGCCATTTCCCACCTTTCTGGGCATGTGTCACACACAGGCCAGGTTTTTGGGCTCTATGACAAAAAACAGAGCCCCACAGTCATCCCTGGCTTTGGGGGGAGGGGAGGGACCAGCCAGGTGGTGCCACAGGACAGACACTTAAACAAGCCCCGGTTACAGCCAAACCCGAGTTCCAGGTTTGAAGAAATCCCTCCGAAGTGACTGGCGCGGAACGTCCACCGGCACAGTCACGCCGGTGCACGCTGGCGGCGGAAATGTTTACCGTCTTTTGCAAAAGCCTCGGAAAAAAACGCACTGTTGACGAAGGAAGGATCCCAAATCCTCCCAGTGAGCCCCAAACCTCCGGGGTGGGTGTGGGGCGGGCGCTGCGGCTCCCTCCTGCCGACGGAGTTCAACATGTTTGTGCAAAGTGCCTGTTTCTGAAAATACCTCCCCAGAAAACGCCGGCTCCAGCGCGCCCTTCGTCTCGCAGAGGCGACGGACACGGACAGACCTTCCCGTTTAAAACGTCATCAAGCCCTGGCCAGTTTGGCTCAGCGGTTGGAGCGTCCGCCTGAGGACCGAAGGGTCCTGGGTTTGATTCTGGTCAAGGGCACGTCCCTCGGTTGCAGGCTCGAGCCCTGGCCCTGGTCGGGGTGCGTGTGGGAGGCAACCCATCGATGTCTCTCACGCTGATGTGTGTCTCTCTCCCTCTCTAAAAAAAAAAATCAATGGAAAAAATGCCCTCCCGTGAGGCTTAACAGCACAAAAAAGCAGCTGGCTGGGGTGGGCACCAAGGGTACAGCATGCTCAGGGAAGGCTGCTGCCCTGGGGGATGGGGCCACACAGCCACGACCGCCCTGCCACGGTCAGCCCAGGCAGTGGGGCTGCTGCACGGACCAGAGGCGGGCGCAGGCCCCTCGCAGTGCAGAGCGGGTGCCCATTATGAACCTTTTTCAGAGCCGCCCTCCCTTCTTAGCCTTTTGGTGGCCTCCCGACTTCCGCCAGCAGTCCTCCCATCCCCAAAATGTGCTCCCGACCCCGCCTAGTNCCAGCAGTCCTCCCACCCCCAAAATGTGCTCCCGACCTCGCCTAGCGCTGGCCAGGGTGCGCGCAGGAGACACCCACCGCGTCTGGAGGCACCCAGACAAAAGTCCCGCGGGAACTACTGGGCCCTCGAGGCAGATGCTCACTATCTGAGCATTTCCCCGCGTGGGGCCCGGGCAAACCACATAATGAGGCCGCAAGATACGGCGCAAATGGCTCGGTTTCCTCCATAAAATCGCCTCGGGCGAGAGAGGAAATAGCTGGGCTGGGAGAGGAAGGGCCTAATCCCAGGCCCAGGGCGCGCTCAGGCGCCGCTGAAAGGCGGCCCTGGAAACGGAAGTGGGGGGCTGCAGGGTCGGGATCCACCTCCACCTGCCCATCCTCTCGGGTGAGGCCCTCCTCCCCGGACGTTTGGGGGCTCTGCACTGGCGAGCGCCTCCTGGGTGCTCCGGGGGGGTCACTGCCGGCAGGCAGGCCTGGCGGACGCACCAGTGTGCAGACGAGTGATGTGTGAAGACCTGGCAGGGTGACCAAGCCAGGGACCCCGTCCCTGCTCGCCTGGGACATGAGGCTGCTGCAGCCATTGGCTGGTGATTCCGGGACACGCTACGTGCCGGCTCCCTCCTGGGGCCCATCGAGCTGCAGCCAAAGCCCCTGCCCCCTGGGGAGACAGGACCCCATACAGGCAGGAGGGAAAACGCTGCACGTGTGTTTCTTAGTTTCCCTGACACAGAGCAAGGAGCCCAGAGGGCCGCCCAGCCCATCCCCATGGGCCTGCACCCTGCCGGGCACGCAGCCCCCCGAAGCACTCAGCACAGGGACCGCTGATCCCGGGTGCCCAGCCCCTAGCAACAATGAGGGGCCGGAGGNCAGGCCACATGGGGGGGGGGGGCGCGGACACATGAATGTTCTCGCCAGGTGGCAACTATCGGCCCTGGAGCCGTGGGCAGGTGAGAGTGTCCACCTTCTACTCGAGGGCGTGGGAAGTGTCCAGACAAAAACCTGTTTGCGGCCCTGGCTTGGAGCATCGGCCTGGGGACCAAAGGGTCACGGGTTCGATTCCCGGTCAAGGGCACATACTTGGGTTGCAGGTTCAATCCCCAGTCCCAGTCAGGGAGCCTGCGGGAGGCANGGTCAAGGGCACATACTTGGGTTGCAGGTTCGATCCCCAGTCCCAGTCAGGGAGCCTGCGGGAGGCGACTAATAGCTGTGTCTCTCTCACATCGATGTTTCTCTCTCGCTTCCTCCCGCCCCCTGCTCCCTTCCGCTCTCTCTAAAAATCAATGGAAAAAATGTCCTCAGGTGAAGATTAACTAACAAACAAAAACCCTGGGTATGTTTGGGCCAGAAAACCACTTACCCCTGGTCCCTGTCCTTGGACCAGGAGGGGTCCCCATCCCAGGACCTGGTGCCCGGACAGGAAAGCTATCCTGATGGCGTGAGAGGAGAAACTGGGGGCCGTGGCCCGTCTGTCCATCTGTCTGTCCTGGTGCTGGAGCTGAGTCAGACCCTGACGTCAGACAGACCATCCCTGAGCGCAGAGGGACTGTGCCCCGTGCTATGGGGACAGTGAGGAACACAGGGCCTGGCTGTGCCCTCGGTGGCTCCTGACCTTCCAGGACATGGGCGCAGAACTCTTCTTACCTGTGCCCAGGAGAGCTGCTGACCCTCGGCCACCCTATCAAGAGAGAACGGCCCGCAGGACAGACTTTCTCCAGGTGGGAGGGGGCAGAAATGATCCCACCTATAGTGTGGGTTGGGGGGGGTCACCTGGGAGAGGCTGGGGGACACCGCGAGCGGTAGGAAGCCGTCTTCCAGAGCAGCTAAAAGCAGGTGTGAGGAGCCCCCGGGCATCGGCGGGAAGCAGGTCCTGGGGGTTAAGGCGCCGAGGACAGAAAACCCCACTGCGCCCCCAGCCCTGAGTCCCTGCGGGGTAGAGGGGGATGGCGGCTCCGAGGGGCCACCTTGCACCTGGGTGCTACCCCCGTGAGCAGCAGGGGCGTGCTGCTAATATTTGGGCTAATAATTGTCCCAAACTGCCTCGGGGCCACCACTTCCAGAGAAGACGCAAGTCCCTGAGAGGGGCCATCACGGGACGTCTGTCTGTCTTCAGAGGCCTGTTGTTCCCTCGACTCAGCCGCCGAGCCCCACCCACGTCCCTTCCTCGCTCACACCCCTTCCCTTCGCGAGCGGCCTGGGCATGGCCAACATCCCTCCCCGAGACGGCAGCAACGGGCAGTGGGTCCCCGTGGGGGCTGCGGTAGCCCAGGCCCTGTCCCAGGCACCGGCAAGCATTGTCCCTTTGGTCCTGGAAACCCCAGGAGGAGCACTAATCCCACCTCGGGTCACCCCAGACCCGTCCGGAACCTCCCCTCCACCCCCACGGCGAGCAAGGCCCAGAGGTCCGAGTGCGGTCAGAACTGCCAGCCCTGCCCTGTGCGGGGCTGATGCTGAAGCCCCTGCCCACCGGCCGGGGACATCAGACGAAAACTGGTCACCGTGCGGGGCCACTGGGAAACGACATCCAGGGCAGGACAGGTGCGAAAGGCAGCCCCAGGGAGGCAGAGGGACAGCCGATGACAGGCCGGGGAGAGGCGAGAGAGGACCTCAGGCCCCAGTGGTGGGAGGCGGACGCCAGGCACTGGTGTGTCCAACGCCTGAGATGCAGGCTGTGAGGGAGACAAAGCCCCCCCCATGTCTACTTCCCACGGAGAGGGTCCCCTTGCCGCCGGCCAGGCCCAGCCAGCCCTGTGACGCCCTGGGGTGGGGGAGCGAGGCCCCCGCAGGCCCACTGGGGAGGTGGCCTGAGTTTCCCGGGAGGCAGGAGACTGGTTGGCAAAGCCACCGCCACGGAGAGCTGAGCATTCTGATGCAAAAACCACCAACGTGCTTCCTTACAGGCCAGTAAACAGCAAAACTAAAATGAAACCAGAAATGCCCGCGGGCTCTCAGCATTTCCTCTGAGCCCGCCCGACGCTCGGGTTACGGCGGGG